CATGTTATTCTTCGGGTAAATCTTTTATACACTAGCTAGTTTAGTTGCATGACACGTATACAAAATTTGATATTTAAATTCAAATTCAAATGATATGGCATTCATCCAATCTCGTTAATGTATACACTGACAGTATAAAAAAGATTAATCCTATCTTTAACTACTAATTTCCAAGCAAGGTTAGCTCTCACGGGATAAAAAGTAAAGATTGATAGAATTTTATATTTGTCATACCATATGAATACACACTCATATGTATTGTCACTGTATTTGAATACTTTCCCAAATTAGTTTCACTCTTACCAAAATATTAACACTTGAAGCGAACACTCTTTAAGCCAAATCCTAATTAATTGGTTCTACTTGGGTATTACCTCGACATCTACCTATTAAAACAATAAAATAAACATTAATTAACTAGCAGCATATCAATAGGGATGGATGGCAATGAAATGAGTGCCCCAGGAAGTCACAAGGCGGGGGGGGCGGGGGGATTTTTCTCTCCTTGTTCTTGAAGAGATGGGTGACGTGGGAGGATACCCTGCTCCGTCTCGCATCTCATCCTATCCCCCATTACTAATATAAACTTTAAAAAATAAATATCTATATATGATTTTATACATATATACATATACATATTATAATTACATATCATATATATCATAATTTGTATGATACAATGATTTTTTGATTATTTTTTTGAATTTTTTACATATTGTAAGTTATTCAGCAAAAAAATAAAATAAATTTGATGATTGTAAGTTTAAAAATAAAAAATAATAATTAAACAACCACGATTAGACCAACGCACGAGGATATTGGGGTGGGCTGGGGGTAGGGGTGTTTCGCTCGCGAGCCGATCGCGAGCGGCTCGAATACGAGCTCGACTCGAGCTCGTCAATATCGAGTTCGAGTCGAGCTCGAGCTAATTAAGTCGATCTCGAGCTCGAGTTCGAGCTCAAAAACATTAAGCTCGCCGCTCGCGAGCTCAATTATATATTTTTTTTATTTTAATAGTAAAATTACATATATATTCTTAATATTTTATTATTTATTTAAAAAATTATTATTTTATTCATTTTTAAAAATAAATAATTATTTTTTATTTTTAAAAAATAAAATAATAATAATTATTTTTTTATTTTTTAAGCTCGAGCTCGACTTGAATTTGACTCGAGCTCGAGTTCGAGTTAATTTTGTGAGCTCGAGTTCGAGCTTCACAAAATTAATTCGAGCTCGGCTCGATTAGTTAAAACTCGACTCGTTTGCAGTCCTAACTGGGAGTGGAAATATAGGGACGGGCGCGGAGGCTGGGGGTGATTTTAGAGCTCCCTGCCCCACCGTCGGATCCCATTGTCATCCCTGTATATCAACGCCACTTTTTTGCAAAGTCCGCGGACTTTTAAAAATAGCAATAACGTTTTTGGCCCCTAAAAAAGGCAGCAGATCCCCCACCGCCCCATTTGCTGTGTTATATTGATAATTCACGGCTTTGCTACCCAAATTTGACTTGTTTCCCTGTGCCAAATAGACTACTGCTCTTCAGTCTTCTTCTTGGGTAACATCTCTGTCACTTTCTTGATGAAATTTCCCTCCTTCGCAAGTTGGAAAGAAACTAATAAAGTTAATACCTTTATAGACTACTGGTTTCTTGGTGTTGGTACTACTCCACCCTCCGATTGTTTTTCCCCCTTTTTCTAGGAACAACAGACATTACAAAAATCCTACTTCCGTACAATTACAAGCAACCCAACAAACGAATACGAACACAGATTTGGAATTCGAAAATTAACGAACGAACACGAACGTTGTTCGAATAGCTTAACGAACAGAGCTCAAACATGAGATACTCGATTCGATTCGGTTCGTATACAGCTCTAGTACTACTCCACCCTCCGATTGTTTTTCCCCTTTTTCTGGGAACAATAGGCGTTACAAAAATCCTACTTCCATGCAATTACAAGCAACCCAACAAATGAAGCAAAGTGCAACGGTTTAGTCGTGTAATCCACCCTACAAAAGATCAAAGGAATTTAATTTCACGAGTCTTTAAATACTGCAGTTATTTTAAAAAAGGAATGGCTGCATAAAAAAACGTACAAGAGGAGTGAAACTCCAATTCTCAATCGCGTAAATATTAACGCCAGTTATATCAAAAGTCTATATTCATACTTGAAAGCTACAGCAAAGACTGAAACTTACACTTCATTAGCTATAACAGCCGAAAATCCCAGTCAAAGAAAACTACTAGAGTGCTAAGCAAGCCAAAATTAATGCATATGGAGTTCTTCGCGGCGGTGGCCGCCCGGCCCGACATTATAACGACAGACACCATACACTTGAATCCGAATCTAGAAGCCAACAAAGTAAACCAAAAAAAAGGAAAATATAGCCCCCCCCCCACCCCCCCTCTTTTTTTGAGGGTGGCAAGTTAGCTTAAGATTGTGAATCTCACGAGTTAGAAAAGAAAAGAATGCAAGTTCATCATTTGACCCGCGCATGATTGATGTGAAAGCATCAGTTGCTTTTCCAATTTTGATTTGTTAAAAGATGCAGAAAATTCCCCGCACTTGGACAACAGAAATCATGATGTACACCAAAAAAAGAATTACTAGCATGTTGGTAATGGTAATCCTACTTGTTTGGAAAGCGACGCCCCTTTTGTCCTGCATGCCTCTTCTTTTTTCTCCTACGGTGGAGGGAGGCGTGGGGGCGTTGGAAAAATTACCGTATCCGATCCGTGTGCCTTAGGCTGTGCCAGTGGCATACCTGTATGACTTGTCCGAGAGGAACCCTAATGGAAAGCAAGATTGTTTTTTATTTTTGGGACGAGATATTTGGGACTCAGATGAGCACGCACGACCCCCCAAAAAAATCCACAGTGACTATTCATTTTTGTCACAGCACTTCAGCACTAGCAAATTTTTTTTTTTTTTAAATTCCTGTATCAATTGTTGTTTTCCGAGATTTTAGTGAGATGCAACCCCACTTTCAGATATGAAGAAGGTCCATATATAATTAAGGACCAAAACCATCTCTGATGTGGTTATGTAAACTATTGAGAGCAAATCAAATCTGATTCCAGCATGCCTCAAAACTTGTAGTAAAAACGAGCAACTCATGAACCGCCATTGATGACACTAGCTAGTGATTATCCGCATATATATATATATACGTATATATATATCAGGCATGCGTGTGGATAACATCACTTAGCACTGAACCTAGTTGTTTCTACAACCCTCCAATCCCACATTGCCATGCATGATTTATTGCACTAGTTGCCTTACCGATCCCGTGGCCACTCATGCCATCGCCTTCTTCCTTATTGGTCAAAATGTGATGCCAACAAAAATGAACTTCCCTTCTTCTCCCATTAATTAGTAATAATTACCCTTCTGCTATGTATATTGTATAGTAAGATTCCATTTGCATTCCTATTTTTCTAAAGTTTTTGTAAAAAAAAAAATGTGCTACAGTGATTTAATATATATATATATATAAGGTAAAAAAATGATTAAAAAATGAGTTCACGAAAAATTTTCTGAGAAAAAGTGACCATCCAAACAAATCCAAGAGGGACCTTGAACTAGGATGGTTGGGTTTTGTACATTTTTATTCTGGTTATTATTGTATTTGTTTCACCATCTTGTCTACAATCAATCATGTTATTGTATTCAGATCTTATATGTGTATATATATATGCACTAACTTTTTGTCTAATATAATAATACTAGGTTAATAATATACACCAGCTGCATGTATTTTAATCAGTACAATAACTGGCGGCCCGATCACAGTAGTATCTGTTTTAGTGGACTCGTGCTGTTTAAAGTTAAAAGGAGAGACCGAACAAATTAAATAGTCAATGTTGGGAAAATGGAGTCAACCATTAATTACACGGACACGGCACAATGCGGTCAACCACTACAGAAGTCTTCTACTACTATGTTTTACTACGTCTTTTACTCGTCAGCGGTCCTACTCAAAAATCTTTAGCTCAATTTTCCGTGTAAGAACTTATGATCCACTCACTCACAAGTCACAACATGCACTGTGGAGTATCTAATGCATCGCACCATTTCACAACTAATCACCAACCCAATTAAGATTTCAAAGCAGACCATGATGAATACACGAGTAGTTTCAAATAGAAGATTATAGAATAGGTTTTCAGCGTCTCTCGATCATATATGGTAAGCAACAATTACTTGGACGCAAGCAATATCTCAATTATCAGCCACAGAGCCAGGGAGATTGTGAGAGAAAGAGAGAGATCGAGTTCATCGCGCTTGTGACGAATTTTATCATTTTATTATTAGATACGCTTTTATGCTGACTCGTCTGTTTTCAATCTTCTCGTGAAATTCACTAGTTTTAACATAAGAATTACTCATGCATGCATTATTTTAAACGTAATTTGTCTATATTAAAATGCGTAAAAACAACTCTAAAGAAAAAAATTTGCTATCGCTGAAATTAGTAAGAATGGTGAATTCTCGACCGAAAAAGTCATCATTGTCTCCAGTCCCGATGAGGCACCACTGGCCCCACTTGGGATCTTCGGTGACATGTTTTCTATGCCAATTCAATACCACCAATAGTGTTGCGCCAAGTGTCATATTATTATTTATATTTGTGTTAAACCAAGTCAAGTTGAATTATTAGAAAATTAAAGTGTAATTAATAACAAGACACTTGGCGCAATACTATTGGTGGCATTGAATTGGCATAGAAAACATGTCACCGAGCATCCTAAGTGCACTGGCCCTGTAATATTCTCAAGCCGAAATAAAAAGAACTAGAAAGTGGGGATCAAAAGTGCCACAAGGTTTTAGCTGTAATATTCTCAAATAATAAGGGCAGACTTGTGGCGTTTCTCTTATAAATACAACCAAGCAAACATGCTGCCCCCAGCAACCTGTCCAACAACCTACTTTCTATCAGTAAAAATTAGGTATTCTCTCCGTTGGCGTTGAGTTCCAGTCTTGGCAAGAAATATGGGAAATTGCATAGCTCTGCGGAAGAAGCCCATCAAGGTCATTAAATCTGATGGACGAGTACTTGAATACAACCCTCCGATGAAAGTCTGCCATGTGCTATCAAAATTTGGTGGGCATGCACTATATGATTCGCTGCCTGTCGTCCGTCATCTGCATCCAGACACTGATATGATTGGTGGTCGCGTCTACTATCTTTTGCCTCTTTTGACAGTTCATCCGCAAAGGGCTGGCGACGTTTCAAGTAAAATCACAGCTACTGGGCAAGAAGGTGGAGTGTTGAGGATAAAGCTCGTGATCAGCAAGGAAGAATTGCAAGCAATGCTGCGGAAAGGTGGGATTACAGTTGATAATATGGTTTCCAAGCTTCAGAATAACGGGAAAACGTGTGGTACTGATAGCTTCAGTAGTGATAGCAGGAGAAGCTCTCCGAGGTGGATGCCTTTGCTGGAAAGCGTACCGGAAGGAAACTGATTTCGGTGTTTCAATATAGTAAACAAAGGACAATAGTTAACTCGAAAACAAGCACTCCAACTGCCAAAATATTATGATTGCAACTCACTCATGTTGTTGTAATTTGTAAAACCCCCATACTATAGTAGCTTACCTTCTACATACAAGTAGCACAAAGGTAGCAGCTTACTACCTGATACTACAGCCTTTTTTCGATCTCATGCTTACTCGAATTTAAAGAACTGGAACTTCAAATCTATCGAGAGATCCATATCATGTACATTTTTCATCCCTAAGTTCTTATCAACCATATTTCACCTAATGGATGTTTTCTTTAACGTAAAAACAAACCTACCAGTCAGTCATTCAACTTTTCACCTGTGTGATGTTTTCTATACGGTAATTAAAAAAAAGAAAGGAAGTGGCTGTCTCCCACTAATTCAGAAAATAAAGCCTTTCATCCAACTTCAGCAGCAAATTGCTGCAAAAGCTGTCTTTTAATATACACGTGAACTCAGCAATATCGAGTGAGCTATTTCCTATTACAGCTTTTGTGTTTTCGTCGGAAATTTCCGCATAGTCTTCCACGTACGCTAGTTCCTGTCAGTAACTTCTGTTTTTTGTCGGGAATTTCCGCATAGATAGGCATCCACACCATGGGGTGGCAATGTCCGAGGGGGAAGGTAGTACAACTGTTCGCAAATGATGTGACATTTTACAAGCAAATCATAACGCATTGTTAACTACTTGTTCAATCTCATAATGCATTTATTGTCTGTCCACACCACATGAACAATAGTAATTGAATACAACATTATTGTTATAAAATTTTATAAGTGGTTCATAATGAATAATAATTTATCTAAATTATCAAAAAAAAATAATTTATCTAAATATTATTACATATGAACAGTAGCTGAATAAAATAACATATTATTGTTATACAATTATAGAAGTAGTTAATGTGAGGAGAGACAAGTTAGATGATAAGGAGAAAAATAGTGTACGGAACGTACCAAATTTGAATGAAATATACAAGACGACAACCAAAAAGGATATACAAGACGTTAAGAGGGAAGGCCAAAACGATCATTACAAATATCCAAAATGGAATGAAATATAACAGTAGCACAGCCAGTGCCGGTTAACCAAGAGGAACTCCAGTGACTTCATTGCTCATCCATCGAAAATAACCAATTTGACTAGACTAAAAAGTTTAAAAGACTTGCAGAACCGTCCGATACTGCTTCTGCCGGCAGCCGAGTTGTGCCTATGAACGGAATAAGCAAAATAGTGGCATGTGAAAATTTTCTAATTCTCTTGTTTAAGGCTGCAATTTTGCCCGAAGTAACAGGGGCAACTTCTATTCTACTATGTTACTTGTAATATCAACACACGCATCAACACGTCATTGGGAAGCGAGAGAGAGAGAAGGGGGGGGGGGGGTTCTATGGGGATTAAATGCTACAAATACTATCGTGAATACACAACTTAAGACGCATATGGTCTCATTTAACCTGACTAGAGCACAGACTAGTAGTGCTATCGATTTTTTTTTTAACTAAATAATAAGATATGTGAGGTCTTGAGTGCTGTACAGTAAGGATCTATTCTTGTTTTCTTTCAACTTCAAGAGCAACCTCATTGCGTCGAGTAAATGGTAGTGTGAACGGGGGGTTGTACTGCAATCAAACAGAAGCATAACAGAAAACAAAAGATCAACATATACAGAAGTGCTTAAGATCTTAGGTAGTAGAGACAACTTAAAAGCCGTCACCATAAGGAGTGCCAATTGACGTTTCCTTGACGTATCAGAAACTACCTGAGCAACTTCTGCTGACGCACCATTCTTTACACGATACTCAGTGTCTTTCTTCAGTGCCTCACGAAGAGTGGATTCACGGCGCTCAACTTCTTCATCAGAGACGAAACCTGATTGACAATGAAATGCAGGTCAGCTACTCTAACTGGCAACTCTTTCATCTGGGGGTTGTATGCCATTGGACTTGCCTAATAGTAACCAAAACATGTCACCACCTGCTATTGATAGTAAATGACAGGAGATGGGCACCCATCTTAATGACAAATTGCAGAGCAATATTATTGTCGTTTGTTGCCAAAGCAATTGCACACATAAAACATCTCAAAGAGACAAGGTATCCTTATGGGTGCATTGCTTCTCACAGAGTCTTTACAAATGACAAAAGCCACACACACACGGCATTATATACCAGTACAAGAATTTTGGACCACAATGTATCTTTCCGCTTGCTACATGCAAATTTCAACTTTAGATGTGATTAAAAAGCAAATTGAATTGATAGAGAGAAAATACCAGAAAAGGCAATAACTGCAACAATTTTCTTTGGCACCTCTTTTATTCTCACTGAAGGATCCTTAGGCAATGGCAAATTTGAACCATACTTTGAGGGCATGACAAAAGACATCTTCCACTTATCTTGACCTGCCACCTGCTGAAAACTCACAAAATCATCAGATTTTGATGAACATCAAGAACTTAAGAAAAGGAAAATAAACTTGGATATCTGCTACCACAATAGCTAAATTGTCATGCTTCTACTACTATAGTAGCAGGATTAACAAACTCTTGCTACTAGATATGTGCTGTTCAAGGATGAAACTTGAACCTACATATGCTGCGGGGAAAAATCTTTAAAGAAGACACTTAATGTTGTTAGGGCTGGCCTAGGAATAAACAAACTAAAGTTAGAATAAAATAGACGATATAACCGACCATATAATGATTAGGCGGTAGATACCAGCCATATAATAATTAGGCGGTAAAACCGACCATATAAAAAGGTTGTGGCAACTCAATAAAGACAAAATAATAAAGCAAATAAAAGACACAGAAGATTTACGTGGTTCGGTCAAATTGACCTACGTCCACGGGTGGAGAAGGAGCAATATTTCTACTATGGAGGAGAAATACAAAAACCGTAGGAAAGTGATTTTTAGGTCAAAAGGCACTTATAAAAGGTTTAGCAAATATTCCTAAACACAAAACAAGAGAGCCTAAAATATTTGACTAAATAGGCTAGATGACTCAAGAAACTAATAGCCCATATAACTCTCTTGAGTGGTGCACTTGAAACTAACCAAAGGCCCCTATATTTATAGCCTTCAGCAGCCGACTTCTTCTTGGCATTGTTTGATGTGGGACGAAGCAAAAGAAGCATCGGTCAGTAGATCCCTGCAAAATATATAAAATACTATATTTGTGTGCCTTCATAACAACAAGAGCACCTCGAGTGATTTTGAGAACTCCATCTCCACCTGAATAGCTGCACCCAATAGACTCAAAAGTGCCCAAAGAGATGAGATTTTTCTTCAAATCTGGAACATGTCTAACATTTGTGAGCATCCTCATAATACCATCATACATTTTAATCCGAATTGTGCCTTTACCAACAACTTTACAAACGGTGTTGTTACCCATTAAGATAACTCCAAATTATGACATATGCGTTTGGAGCACATGAGCGAAAAAATCTTGGGCATACTGAGCAAAAGAGGATTTCTTTGTGGACAAAGTACCGGGCCATTGGAATTCTATGAACATTGTATTTTTTGGAAGCTGAAAAGAGTCGGCTTCAGTTCACTAGCAATTCACAAGATAAAAGGTACTCTTGATTACATTCATTCAGATTTATGGGGTTCTTCTCGTGCTCCTTCTAAACGTGGTGCCAGATACATGTTGACTTTCATTGATGATTATTCAAGAAAAGTTTGGGTCTATTTTCTTAAACATAAAAATGATGTTTCCTTAACTTTCAAGCAATGGAAAGTTTTGATTGAGAAACAAACAGGAAAACATGTTAAGCGGTTGAGAATAGATAATAGCATAGAATTTTGTGAAGGTGAATTTGATAGATTCTGTAAAAATGAAGGAATTGTTCGGCATTGCACTGTCAGAATAACGCCTCAACAAAATAGCATGGCCGAACATATGAATAGAACGCTTTTGAAGAGAGCAAAATGTATAATCTCCAATGCAGGGTTGACAAACGACTTTTGAGCAGAGACGATCAATATGGCCTGTTATATTGTCAACCATACTCCTTCTGCATCTCTTGATTTCAAAACTCTTGAGAAAGTTTAGTCAGGTACTCCTGCTGATTACTCCAATTAAAAGTTTTTGGATGTCCAGTATACATGCACATGAATGATGAAAAATTAGAGTCTAGAGCTAAAAAGTACATTTTTCTTAGGTATGCTTCTGGGGTGAAATGATACAAATTATGGTGTCCTGATTCCAAATCCCCAAAACTTGTAATCAGTAAAGATGTTACTTTTGATGAATTGTCTATGTTATCTTCCAAGAAGGAGTTTTCTAGTTCTTGTACTACTGATAGTACACAAAAGCAGGTGGAGCTTGATATTGGCAGTTCTGATTTTTCTCAGTCCAAATCTTCTATTCAACAAGTGCCAGTGGATGCAGCTGAATCTACTGTTGAAGATAATTCAGAAGAAGAGTAGTATTCCATAGCCAGAGATAGACAAAGAAGAGACATTCGACCACCACAAAGATATGCAAATTTAATTGCATATGCTTTGTCTGTTGCAGAAGAAACTGATGCAGTTGGTGAGCCTTCCACTTATTTAAAAGCAGTTTCTTGTGATGATTCTGCAAAGTGGTTGATTGCGATGAATGAAGAAATTGAATCTCTTCATCAGAATGAAACTTGTGTTCTTGTAAAGCCGCCATCAAATAAGAAAATAGTTGGTTGCAAGTGGATCTTCAAGAAAAAAGAAGATATTCCAGAGATTGAAGATGCAAGGTAGAAAGCACAATTAGTTGCAAAGGGCTATAGTAAGGTACAAGGTTTTGATTTTAATGAAGTTTTTTCATCTGTTGTTAAACATAACTCTATTCGTGTTTTGCTTGCTTTAGTTGCCATGTATGATTTAGAGTTAGAGCAACTTGATGTTAAGACAGCTTTCTTGCACGGCGAACTTGAAGAATAAATTTATATGAAACAACCCCAGGGTTTTGAAATTGAAGATAAGGAAGACCATATTTGCTTATTGAAGAAATCCTTATATGGATTGAAGCAGTCTCCAAGATAGTGGTATATGAGGTTTGATTCTTTTATGTTGGGTCATGGTTATTTAAAGAGCATGTATGATAGTTGTGTTCACTTCCGAAAGATAGATGATGATTCTTTTATCTATTTGTTGCTGTATGTTGATGACATGCTCATTGCTGCCAAGAATTTGTCAGAAATTCACACTTTGAAACTACAGTTAAATAGTGAATTTGAAATAAAAAATTTGGGAGCAGCTAAGAAAATTCTTGGCATGGATTTCAAGCAAGATCAAGGAGTAGGGAAGTTGTTCTTGACCCAGAAAAATTACCTTGAGAAAGTCTAGGAACGTTTTGGCATGAAAGATGCTAAACCAGTATCTACTCCTCTTGCTAGCCATTTTTGACTATCTGCTACTCAGTCACCACAATTAGATGAAGAGGGAAATTATATGGTACGGGTTCTTTATTCCAGTGCAGTCGGCAGTGTTATGTAGGCAATAGTTTGTACTCGTCCAGATATCTTACATGCAGTCAATGTTGTTAGCAGATATATGTCTTGCCCTGGTAAAGCACATTGACAAGTTGTGAAGTGAATTTTCAGATACTTGCGAGGTACTTCAAATGCAAGTTTGGAAGAAATAATAACACTTTGGTTGATTTTGTAGACTCAGACTACGCTGGAGATCTTGACAGGAGAAGATCACTTTCAGACTATGCATTTTGCATTAACGGTTGTGCTGTTAGTTGGAAAACTACTCTACAACCTGTTGTAACTTTGTCTACTACAGAAGTAGAATATATGGGTGTGATCGAGGCAATCAAAAAAGCCTTGTAGTTGAAAAATTTATTTAACGAGTTTAGTCTACATCAAGGTGTTACTGCTATTCACTGTAATAGTCAAAATGCCATACACTTGACTAAACATCAAATGTATCATGAGAAGACGAAACACATTGATGTGAAGTATCACTTTATTTGGGATATCATTGCTAAAGGAAAGGTCCTTATTCAGAAAATCAATACTAAGGACAATCCAGCCGATATGTTTACAAAACATCTTCCACTTTACAAGTTCAAGCAGTGCTTGGACTTGGTTGGTGTTCGTTGTTTGTGATTTAGGCCTATTGGAGCTTATGTAGCGAAGGTGGAGTAGATTTGCTATTCCTCGATGTTGGGAACTCATCAAGGTGGAGATTTGTTGAAACCGCATTTGTTGACCGATGCTTCTTTTGCTTCGTCCCACATCGAACAATGCCAATGAGAAGTCGGCTGCTGAAGGCTATAAATATAGTGGCCTTTGGTTAGTTTCAAGTGCACCACTCAAGAGAGTTATATGGGCTATTAGTTTCTTAAGTCATCTAGCCCATTTAGTCAAATATTTTAGACTCTCTTGTTTTGTATTTAGGAATATTTCCTAAACCTTTTATAAGTGCCTTTTGGTCTAGGAACCACTTTCCTACGGTTTTTGTATTTCTTCTTCATAGTAGAAATATTGCTCCTCCTCCACCCGTGGACGTAGGTCAATTTGACCGAACCACGTAAATCTTCTGTGTCTTTTATTTACTTTATTATTTTGTCTTTATTGGGTTGCCACAACCCTTTTATATGGTGGGTTTTACCGGCTAATTATTATATGGCTGGTATTTACCGCCTAACCATTATATGGTCGGTTATACCGCCTATTTTGTTCTAACTTTAATTTATTTATTCATGAGCCAGTCCTAACAAATGTCCATCATTCTTTATTACCCTCTCAATTTGTCCCAGGTGCAAATAAAGAAGCTGGTTCATTTTGCTTCTTGTATCAATCATGAGATCAGCAACCCAAGGGCAATGAGATCAGGATACTTTATCTCTCAAAAAATGACCAGAATTCCAGCATAACCATGTAAATAATCAACTTCTAAAGGTGCTTAAACTACAGCTCTCATTGAATCAGCCAGAGATTCCAAAATAGATATATCATAAACCCAATCAAGTTCAATTGTTATCTTAAAACTCGATAACTGGCACACTTATGCTCCACCAATGTGCTGAATGCATACTCTAAGATCACTTCTCCCAAAATTCTATAACACACTCAAGAGGCTTATAAGATGTTTCCAGTTAAAAAAAATCCAGGTAGATTTTAACGACTGATTAAAAGCAGTTCAACTTGGATACGCTGGGTAGGTGATGCCCCTTGCTCCAGGAGATAACAGAGGAGGTGCAAACAAGCAGGACTGCACCACCTTTTCCTGGAAAAAGCTCCTTTTGCTTGTAACTTTCATCAGGCAAGGACCTCATTGCGATCCCTCATTTGGAGAAAGGGTTGGGGTCAGGACACATGTATTCCAAGAACCTTTATCTAAATATTCAGCAATATGCCTGCCTTTTATTATTTAGTGCCTCCATTTTTATGCCAGTGCTATCAAGGACTCTAAATGGCTCGAGTTGTAAGATGGTAAACCTTGTGAGCTAATGCCAAAGTGCCACTTGTATACGTCCTTATTCATTTGAAAACCCTGCCCCATTGATCAGTTGTCCATTAGGACGATGTCACTAGGGTACTACTACTGCAAGGATGACCAGACCAGAGTGTATGTCACCCTAAGGGCATTCTTGGCAAACCAAATTGCCGACTGCAGGATATCCCAAATTTCAGGTGGCAACCTACCACCTGCAAGAGTGAAACTTACGAACTAAATGCAGTTACAAAACTATTACTACCAAAGGATAAGTGGAACGCCAAGGGAAAAACCGGAGTAATTACCTTTTTAGTTATCACGGGAGTCGTCATGTCCATTTTCTCCCCCTCAGACTGACTTTTACTAGTAAAAACAGGAGTGGTCATCTCCATTTTCTCCTTCTTTGTATTCTAAAATCAGCCAGGTTAAAATCAACCGCACGAAAAAGACATAAAATTCGAAGCATGATATAGCAAGTAACCCACGGACTGAATCAGAAATAAATACTTCAGCTAGCTACCTTACCAAAGAGGTACTCAGCCAGCACGTTGAAGGATTTTGAAGCGCCATTTAGATCAAATCCAGATTTTCCGGGCATTGTCGTCTCGGCAATAAAGTACGACTGAATCCAAATCACAAACAAATATTTATACCACATAGAATTTCAAGACGATGAAGATTTTAGTGAAAACTTCCAGATATTCAACTAGAAAATGACGTGAAAGCGATTAATAGTACCTCAACTTCCCTTATCTCATATTGATCATTGCGGCTTAAAACCTTAAAATTCAGAGTTTCAATATCCGGAACTTCAAAAAATCGAAAGGAAGATAAGATAAGAATAACGAGGTTCCATGTAGAGAAGGAAATTCCAGCAAAACACAAAGTTCTACCTGACATCAAAGCCTCCTCTAAAGTGCGACTCTCGAATCTCCTCGAAGGAAACACGTACTTGGCAGTCTCGCTGGCCAATTCCATCAGAACTAAACAAGTCGTTTTTGTTTGAAAAAAAATAAATAAAAATAAGAATAAAATAAGGAGAAGAATTAAGGACCAGTAAAGCGAACTCGGATTTCAAAATTTCTACATAAACCAAAGACGTGACAATATAATTGAAGAAGATAACGATTACGTCGCTGGGAGAGAGAGAAGGTTTGCGTGGCAAGAGCGAAGACGAGAGAAACCCTGGCTTCCAGTGCCGAAAAATTAGAATTGATTCTAAGCAGCGGACTGGAGCCGGTTGTAGAGCTCCTTTGGGTGGCCATGGATTTGTAAACTATCAACGAAGGACGTGAAGGTTTATGCCCAAAATTTCTGAGAAGTCGGGAATCGGTGGGGGTGATGATGGTCGTCGTGGCGATTGAACCGTAGAGATTCATGTTTCGATTGCTCTATCACTGCCCACTGCTCTGTTTGAAGCTCTGTTTGGTCAAGAGGGAGAGAGAGAGTGCGGGATCGCGGCTCAGGCTCTCCCGAAAGTCGTCAGTACCCTTTTTTCTTTTTGTGGCGCGGAAAATTATCGTATGGCCATTACCCGGTACCGGTGGAAATTTGTAGTAATAATTTGGCCAAAAAATGAATTTTGGAAATTTGGTAATTTATGTGGTTCTACATCTAAATTGGAGCCCTATCCAAACTACAATTCGATGCTTGAAAATGAACCAAAAAGAAATTTCAACATTGCAATATTATGTATTGCTAAATAAAAACAAACGCCTACACTCCCTCACTACTGATTTCTTGAGATGATGGCTGGCAGTTCCAGACGAATGCAATTCTTAGCCCACCGTGCGGGTGATGCTTGAAATGGCCGAAATTCATGAATACTAGTACACTAACTAAGCAGATCTCAGTGCACTTAGCAAGAGTTCGGATTAAGGTTGAGCTGGAAAATCGTCAACTTCTGAGTTTTTAAGAAAAAAGAAAAAGATATGTTACATAATTATGAATGCCGTAAAATGATATTCTATCTTAGGTAAGCATATACTGGTATTCATGTAACACGCAATCTCATATTTAACTTGCAGATGAATCATAGGATCAAAATGTAACTTGACCATCTAATGGGTCTAATAAAATCAGTACGCGTTATCTTGCGCAACAAAAAAACCAGCATTAACATTAGGAATGTGTATATCAGAAACAAAAACATCTTGACGGCATACAAGGCCTGGAAAACAATTTATTTTGCTTGTCAATCACTACTCTGCTCTAGTTGATGCTCCATCCGTCATTTTCAGCGAGCACTTCACACCGTCAGAGGTGCAAAAATTGAAGTCATTAAAACTTCCCTGTCAGTCCTCAAGCACATATCCAGGAGAAACATGACCATCATATATCTGGATTACACTGCTGGCAGAAAAGGAGGACCAAAGTCCGTCAAACCGCTGAGGCATCCTGTTGGACGTGCCAAGCCACAACATCTTTGTATGGCAAGCTCCCGCCAAATATATCCAAGGCACTGCCTACGGTGACATCTACACGACCCATTCCTGCACTTTTAATTGTCTCCAAATCAGCCATTGTGCTCACGCCACCAGCATAAGTCACTGGAATCTGCCATTCATAAAACAACGCCAGCAATGCAATGTCAGATATGAGAAGGGTAAGAGCACGAACCAGTCACAAGAAAAACAAAAACACAATGAGGTACTTCATCAATACATGAGATTTTGCATGTAAGGCCAGTGACCAGTAATAATGCCAATATAAGCCAACCAAAAACCAAACTTCCATAGTGATTCATAAGCACAATTACTGCAACCAATGCTATTCCAAACCAAGAAGACTCCAACAAAAAAACATGTACCAAGGCCTGTGTCGTACTTAAATTGGTTAATTCAAAAATCGTGAGCTAATTGTTTTCAAAGGCTTGCCAACATGGTCTTGCGTCATCGGTTATCAAATTCTTTTTCTCACATTTTCAAAAGTTGGGCATTACGCTTTGACTCCACCTCGAGTCACTGATTCCATTTTTTAAGTAAAAAAAAATATTAAAACATCATAAACCAATCAGAAACTACCCTAAACTATACAAGAATTCCCTATATACATTTCCTAAGTCTGGAAAACAAGCAAGAAGAATGAAAACTAAATGAACAAGTACACACCGGGGAATGGTTTCCAAGCAATGCCACAAGCTCGTTGTCAATTCCAAGCCTGCAATACTCAAGTGGAAGAAAGTGTTGTTAAGTTGCTCTTTTACAGGATTAATCATGATTCTCAGTTTCATAGCACTCTAATCTATTGTATGCTCAACTGGTCGAAAAACCAGTTTGAAGCAACATGTAAGTAAGGCAAAATGCAGCACCAATCAATAGATGTATCCTAGAATGTCTTTTATAAGTGTCTGCGATTTCCCTAAATGTCAGAGTAAATCTCTCATGGAAAGAACTAAAATTAAAGAACATCATGCCAGAGATTTAGGAATTTCATGGAGGGGGTGGGATTTCGGGTCCATTCTTGTAATACATAATCAAAAGGCCCGTCCTTAAAGCCACAAGTATAATTAGAGAATGACATGCAGGATGAAAACTGAACCCAATACTGTGTTTAAACTTTGTTTAAACAGCTAAATCCCAGCAGAAGGCCAAAACATCTTAGCTTGGCTTCATATTACTCAGTACTGTGTCCTGTTATACTTATTGCTTGAGGAAGACCCTCTGCCAAAGCTAGTATAACAAACTAAGCTAACAAGGTGAGGGACCGTCCCCCCTCACCCCACCCCACTCCCAAATAGACGAAAAACAGAAAAGAAAAAGGGTGCGGAGCAAAGAAAAAAACCACAATGAAGAACTGAAACTGCAGCAAGACAAAGAGTACATGCATAAAAACTTGAATTTTATATATGTACAAGAGGTTTTGGAAGAAAACCACACACTGATAATACCTCTACTCAAGGTTAAGGATACTGATTCTAAATTAAACTATCTTGCTGTACCACCTATAAAAAACCTTGACAGCATTAATATAATGATTGAAGGAGTGCACTTACTTTTTTCCCTCAACATCAACTCCATGGACAAGAAACTCGTCAGCATAACGAGCCAGAAAATCCAACACTTTCTCATCAAGACATACATCACTAAATTTCTGCCACCTATCTGTGACGACAAAATATTTGCCCTCCTACAAATTGATATTTGAAGTCATTGAAAATAATCTTATTACATGGTAGAGCATAATGTGGAACCATGACCAAAATAGTTTCTTAATCACGGAGTAAGTGCTATACTTCTTAGATTGAGACAAGCTGCATACCAGGGCTAATAATCGCATAAAGTGCAATGTTTTCTAAGATAAGAAATGGAACAGTCTCAAAAATAAATAATCACTTCCATTAGCTCAGAAAGATTTCATCTCAGGTATGTTTTTTCTCAAGGCCAAAGCAAACCTTCTTTCGGCAACTGAGATCCAATATAAGTCTCTCTTTCCCAACAGCATTAGCAAGCTCTTTAAGCCTGTCAAGATCCATTAGTCCATTGCTGAAAACATACTGCAGGAAAAAAGAGGAAAAATATGAGCTTGATATATATTAAACAGTAAAACAGAAGCTACTTCAGAGTCTAGCTTGTTGCTAGTTAAAATGAGCTCTCAAACTTATAACCAACACTAGAACATCCAAAACCCAGAGTTACACAAACAAGGACTTCTCATTGCATCAAAAGGACATGGTAACATGAAATAAAGGGATGCCTCCTGGCTCCTTTCATTTGAAATTTAAGAAGAAGTAATGAGTAGGACATATTTCTCTTTTTTTTTCCTGATCAGAAACAAAAAAGGCATGCACAGAGACAGCTAATGTCAACTTAAAACTCATCAAGCATTCCTGAAGCAAAGAACATCAACTAAGGCAGGTAAACCATTTCCTGCCTCTCTTCTAGACAAATTTCTTTTTGCATATGATAAAACAATTAAGCGAGGGCCTAGAGGTTTTCTAAAAGTGTGATAATCCTTTGTAATTTGTGCATAAGATGCTTGCTACTGCATATTTAAAAAGAAAAAAAAAATCAAAGGAAACATACAGATGTGACAATGACATGGCTGGCTCCTTCCTCCAAGTAACTAAAAGCATTGCTGGAATTGATACCACCTCCAACTTGCAAACCACCTAGACATTGTCAAAATCTCAGTGTTCAGCAGAGGAAAGGCTGTAAGTTGACGCATTCTAGCAATCATAAAATGTGAGCCTCATATTGTACCAGACGTACAATGGCTACATTAAGTTCTATTCACTTGAGAACAGCACAGAAATCTGTGCAGCAGCTAATGACACAGATAACAAGAAAAACTAAATGCAATTAAAGATATAAAAAACATTATCCTTGTTGATTTCTGTTTATATAATTAAGCAAGTGCCAGGCTGCCAGTTGAAGTATCAAGAGTACTTGTGAGTAAAAAAATAATGTGTGAGCGCACGCATACACGCGCACAAAAACACATAACTATTCAATGAGAGTGTCTTTCACTTTCCAAAAAAAAATTACTTTCAGAAAGGTAGAGTTCAAGTATGCGTGATATAAATTGTGGAGATACAATTAAGCAATAAGCTTAGATACTTGAATAACAAGTCTTAATTAACATGCATATAAAGTCAAAAGATGCATCACCAACGAGAATACCATACCAGGATAGGCATGTAATGCTTCAATAGCAGCTGATTTACTCAAAGGATCTGCGCCAAGTGTGATCACATGACCTCCCGTAAGTCCATCATCTTTGTAAAGCTTTGCATAATCTGCTGCTGGTTTATCAGATTCAAAGTTTGTTACGAGACTTGAACTTTCTTCCCTAGAATCTTGAAGAGTAGATCCTACAATTTGCTTCACTTTTCCCTGAAAATATTTGAAAGAAAGTCTAAATTAGTAAGCGTTTGCTTTGCTTTGCTATAAGATGTGCATGAATCAAACATTGGTTCCCATCATGCCAATATGGGCTACTAATACTCAATTCTCGGGCTGCCTTCCTTCTGTCCCCCGACAAATACCACCACTAGAGAAAAGGAGAAAGTGAAAAGATTCTCAAGTAGCTAAATTTCTTCTTGCCTTTTGAACAGTCACTACTTTTGGGTGACAACAACAAGACACAAAAATCTCATGTCCAAGCACACGTGATGATAGCATGCTATAAATCACCAACTTGTTGGATGTCAGTGGTTATTTCAATCTTAGTTAAACAAATTTCCTGATGCTGCCACAAAATTCATTTGACGGTATTTCATAAGCAAATCACCAGGGGATAAAAGAAAGCCCTGAATACCACCTTGTGTATGTCAATGCAAGGGCGAAACCTAACTCCACATTGGACAGATAGCCTTTGAGGTCCTGCACGGTTCAAAACAATTACTTAATCTGCAATTGTCAATTAAAGTACTTAAATATCTCCCGACTACCTTCTTCCATCCTACATACACAATCGACGAAAGGGAAAAGAAGGTACCGTAGTAAAGCAAAGGAGCTGCTCTTAGAAATTTGTATATCGTGTGAGGAACACATATTAAGGAACTGAAACCCCATTTACACAGTGACCCAGGATTAGCCGAGCTCGCATTCACATGAAGGCTCTGAATCATCATACCTTATTGAGCTTCAAACTCAGTCTGGGCATCTGCGCATAAAGGGCACAATCAGCTACCAATAGATTTCTGCTATCTGATAGTCAACAGTATGATCAAATATGTTCATCCATTTAACCGTTCGTGGAAAGAGAATTATTCTCGTTGCCACTTCGACATATTTTAGAGACATTTTCTCAAACACGTCCTATGCTAAGTTAAAACAACTCACTGATCCATTACCCACAACCCACATGTAATTCTACGACTTTTAATTACGAAAAAGTCTATTGGTGATAGATGACGGCAGCACTAAAAGAAGTTCCGATCATCAACTTATGAGATACTACTGTGTTTATTCATTTACAATTTTACAGAGCAATAATAAATACGTTTTGGCTGTACATAAGTGGGACAGGACAAGTTGAGAAGCCTGGGTCGGAGGCGACAAAACTGCGCGGGCAGTTCGTTAACATAAACAGCGACACAACCCAACTTTGCTCCCTGGTTCTCAAGTTAATTATTTGGATGCCTCCGCTGTCGCGTCTCATTTTTTTGCTAAGAAAATAAGATGTTTACAAATAATGTGATTTTTATTTAAAAATAAGTAAAAAATAACCTGGAATGAAATTTCAAAAAATATGACAGTTTAGATACAAAATTTAGTCTAAAAGAATTTTTAAGAAAAAAAAGAGTCGCCACTTGATATTAAATTTGAATGTACCAAATTATTAAAAACTCTTTTCGACAATTGCAGGTCTTTGAAAAAACAAGATAAAATGAATTCGAGAGTCATGATTGAAAAAAGAAAAGACAAATATTCAATTAATTCAAATCTAATACACTCTTTTAATCTAGTCTAAGCTAGTTGCGTGGTTTAGTTAAAATTTTCTCTAATCTAACACTTAAATTTATCACAATTGGATGTTTTCTACATGAATGTAAAAAAAACCGTTCAAAGGGACAAAATGTGCATTCAAAGGTTTAATTGATATCAATCATATTAATTGCAAAGGCCAAAATAATTCTCTGAAGAGATCACGAGTATGCAAATGATGAAATTAAAAGAAAAGAAAAAAATTAAATTATATACATAGGTATAAGTGCTCAAAAGAAAAGGAAATACAGCATAATAAGTATGGAAGACAAAAACTCATGACACAATTTTCTTATACAGGGATTAATGGGATGTTTAAACTAAAAAGTTATAATTATCTATTTTTCATGTTTGAAAAATAATTCTCCTAACATAGACAATCAAATAAACTAACTTAAATGAAATGCAATTCTAAATGACATGATTCACACATATAGAGAATAGAGGAGAGAGGAGAATATAATAGGTTATATCATACAAATGAGAAAATATCCTAAAAATAAAAAATATGCATGAAAATGTAATGAATATCACACAAAAATGAATCTAACGCACGAACGATCTAAGGGTCTAGCGTTAGACTAACCCATTTTTAAAAATCCTTACTAGCGTTGGACTAGCAAGTAAACAAATGGAGAAGTCACAACTAACGTTGGACTAGTGTGGTGACGCCATGCATTCTTAATACATAGTAAAACAAATAAGACATAAATTAAAACAAATAAATATGTAAAAGTACGTAGCACATAACACATAAACATAACATCTAGATGCAAAAATCCCAAAAAAAACGGATAAAGCACATAATACATAAGCCACATAAACACGTAAAAACCTATCAATTACGGTGGGGAATCTAACTACAATCTAAAATGGGGAAATAAAAAAAATCTTATCTACCCTATCTATTGCAATAGAGGACCTAATTACAATCTAAAAGGGAAAAATATAATAAAACAAATCTAATTATCCTATCTATTACATTTTTCAGGTATTTAAATGCCTCTCAACTAATTATAAAAATTAACTAAACAAATATAAGAAAATTTGAATAAGCATTTAAATCAAATAAATGAAACATATAAAAATATATAAACACATAGGAACACGTAGAAGCATATAAGAGCACGTAATTGACATTGAAATAATAATAATAAGGGTAAATCCCTTTTGAAGTGGTGATTAAATGGAATCAAATTACCCTATTTATACTCAAAATGAACAAAAAAATCATGACGCCAATTTAATTGAAAAATAATAATAACAAAAGTACTAAATTCACACTAATATATCAAACATAAAGAAATTTAAGAACATCTAAAAATTACAACTTAAGTATATTCAAAAGTAGCATAATTAGCTATTAAAGAAAAGAAACAATCATAATAAAGAGAGTCAAATTCACTAGGGATTGATTGCAAAAATTGAAAAATTTTTGGGGGTAAAAATATAATTTTCTAAAGTTTAAGAGCCCAAATTAAATAAAAGATAAAGCTTTGGGACCAAATTGAATTAATTTAACGTCCTAAGTGAAAGAAATTTAAAATGCTCTGGGCCGAAGTAAAACTACTCCAAATATCAGGGGCTAGAGTGCAAATTTCAGTTTCTGATTTGGGCAAGAAAAGGTCATCGGGACTTAACTTTTTATTTTTACTTGGGCCGAAAATTTCTAAGCCCAGCCTAAACCCAAAGGAAACGAGCAGGCCAGCCCGTCTTTTTATCACTCAAGCCCGACCAAAAAATACATGGGCTCTGACCTCCTAGCCCAAACCGAAACCCAAAAGAAAAAAAAACCCATTCCCAAAACCCAACCAAAACTAACCACAACCCACCGAAAAAAACATTAGCCCATCATTTTTCTTTCTCTTCTTTTCGTTTTTCTTTCTTTCTTTTCTTTTCTTTCTCTTTTTCTCTTCTTCTTCCACTCCCGTTTCTTCCTCTTCTTGTCCGGCCCACTGAAGAAGCTTCAGCTGGTGGCCATGGTGGCCCCCGGCGGCGCCACCACATGGCCGCCGACGAATTTTCCGGTCGCCAAATTTTCTCAAAATACCATAGTTATTAAACCCAACCCGGGAAGGAACCCGGCGAAGGAGGTGGGTCAACGGGTTACTGGTTGAACCGGTGGGTGAGTGGTTGAACCGGTGGGTCACTACATATATTTAAATATTATATTTCATAATTATTTATATAAGATATATGATATAAATTGTAATAAATAATGTCATAACAAAAGCTCATTTAATTTAATTTGTTATAAAATAATTAATTCATATAAGAATCAATCAAATATAAAGTTATTTATTAATATACCAAACTTCAAGTGTAAAATTTTATCTATATTTAGTGTAATTATCTAGCTTATTTATGAATTTTAAGTGTAAAAATTTATTAAAAATAATATTTGTCTTTAAATGAATTATGTAATATGTTATTTTTGGAATCCATTTTATAACTTATAGAGTTTGGAGGGTAATAAATTTTTATTAAAAGATTCCAAATAAATTTGTTTTAGAGAAAAAAAGATAGAATTGAAAAAACGTTTATATATCATACTAAAGCTACTATATCAACATATTTGGAAGTGGTTTGGTGGTAAGCAAGCGGTAGTGTGAGGGCAAAGGTCGGAAGTTCGAGTCCCAACAATAGCAATATAATTTTTCTACAAAATCCGGTTAGTGACAAAACCGGCCAAAACCGGCCGGGTTTCCGGTTTAACCCGGTTCGACCGCCGGGTTGTTGACTAAGTCAACGGTCTCTGTGCACAAACCGGTTAGTGACAAAACCGGCCAAAACCGGCCGGGTTTCCGGTTTAACCCGGTTCGACCGCCGGGTTGTTGACTAAGTCAACGGTCTCTGTGCACAAACGATCTGATTCCAAACCCGGCCCGGTCCAATGGCCGGTCCACCGGTTTGACCGGTTCGACCGTCGGGCCGGGCCGGGTTTAATAACTATGCAAAATACACCCCCTCACTCGATTTTTCGCGTAGATTGCATTTCCGGGGTTAGTTTTTACAAAAAATGACCCGAAAGTGACCAAAAAAACAAAAAACAGACCAGTTTTTATTTTTTCACTATATCTTTCACTAAAAATCACCATATCTTTCACTAAAAATTATAAAAAATATACCATAACACTCCTTACAACTTCTACAAAACACCTATGATTTTAATTTGACAAGAAAACAACATAAAAAGGCTAAAATAAAGCAAAACAGCCCCCTAAAATTTTTTTCCCATTTTGACATTTTTTCAAACAGTTAACATGCATATACAAAAACCATTCCTAATCTTGTTCATGACCTATCCCAAAATTTTAACCACACAACAGTAGCAATAAAAACCAGCAAGAAGCAAAAGAAACTAGACACTGAAACATGGATGTAATAATAATAAAAAATCGGAAAATACCTCAATGTAGGTAGTAGTCCCTTGACCAAGATGTTTGATACAATTTCCAAACCTTGAGCGTATCTTCCTGGCTCCCTTTGGTGATTGATTTGTGTGTGGATGTGCTATGGGAATTTAGAAATTGAGAGAGCGAGAGGGAGAAAGAGCCAAGATGGAGAGAGTTGGAGTTTTAATGCTTGTGTCTAGTGCATGTGTGATTGAGAGAGCCAGAGAGGGAGCCGAGAGAAGATTGAGGGAGATGAGGAGAAAATCTGCTAGTTTTTCTTGTCTTGGGAAGAAAGAGAGAGGACCGAGAGCTGTCTTTTGGAGGGAAAACATGATGGTTTTTTACCTAATGATGACAAGAAAGATGCAAGGAAAAATATGATGGTTTTTCTCAAATAAAAAGAAAGATTCATGGAAATTTTGAGTGCAAAAATAGATCAATAGTGTATTCGGTGAAAAAATAATAATTTGGAGAAGATTCTTGATTTCTTGATTTTCTTTTTTTATTGCTTTTTATTATTATTTTTTCTTTTCCTAAAACAAGACCTGTAAAAATAAAAAAATACATATTGAAATGCAAGAAAAAATAAATAATTCATTAAATAAAAAAATTAAAAAAAATATTAAAAATTAACAAAAATTTGGTGTCTACACCGCGTCTAAAAGACACCCAAATGGAGTACATACTCAAGCACGGATTCATAGGTTCGTAAAATGGGGGGAAAGAAGTAGGATATTTGAGCTTTTAACTATTCAGCCCCCAAAATTTTCTTTTTATTTATTTGAATTCCATACTTTTGGTTTTGTATTAATGTGGTGCATAATCATTTCACGACCATGTGATGAAACGGTGGAGTTTTTTGAAGAAAAAAATATTTGAAAATATTAAGATGCACTTTTTATTATGTGATAAATGAAAAGATATGAGAGAAGAGAAGATTGTTTGAAAAAAAACTGTAACAATCCTGTAGGGCTTTTTATTATGTGATGAAAAGATAATTAGAAAAAATAATTATCTGTTTCCAAGAATTAACGTTTGATGAAACGTGAATATGGTTCTAGGTTTTTTTCTTTTAGGACCGTTGCATTCTCTTAGTAAAACAAAAGGAAAGGAAAAACACTTACACGATTCAAAAAAAACTCACATGATTATCCCTATTT